TTTTTTTTTCAACTTTTATTGTGTGTTAGACCCACTAAACAGTTTTTTTACTAACTAAAATATTAATTTCTCACTAAATATAAAAATATTAATAACTCAACAAAATTTCATGTCAAAGATTTTAACTAGATTACTGATGACAATCACGAGCGAACCCCATTTTCCCTAATATGGAACAAAGATTTTTCCACTTGATCCACGGTGTTCCATTTGCAATTTTATATTTTACAATAAATTTATTCTACTTTTCAAAGCATAATTAAAGTTTGTTTTTGAGAGAGATCCGAACTTGGGATCTCTTTTATAATAAATCAATCGCCTACCGGTGCAACCAACTAGCACGTTGTGTGAAATATTTCGTAAAATAATATATTTATAGTATTTTGATCAACCTGACAATTTTTCCTGTTAAACTGCTCAAACCGTAAACCAGAGGTCAAAATGATTTGACCTCTTATTCAGGTTTAAAAAACATTAGTTTAAATTTTATTTTAATTTAGTAACTAAGAATAGTTAATAAAATAATTTGCAATTTATAGTTAAGAACATTTTTGTGATTTAATGACCATATATTCTTTATAACAAACTTCTCATACGTCTAACTTGATGGTATGGGATTTGAATTCTACTTCCAACATTCAAAAAAAATTATAATTTTTTTATTTATTTATAAATATTATAATAAAATATTTAAAAATAATATATATATATATATATATATATATAAAAGGTGCGACCCTAATAATTTTCCGTGTCGTCACAAGTATATAACTCTTGAATTGAAGCAACTTCTTCTGTGGCTCTAATAAGTAGCAAAGCGGCTTTTAAATTACTTTAACTTTAATTCAGTTTGTTAAGTTGAGTAATTTCTCACAAAGGACTCTAATTTTAATAAAAATTCGTAATTTTTTAAGATTGAAATCAGTAAGTACTATTTTCACATTTATATACAGTTATCATCAACATTTATGTATTCTGATTTTTATATGTACTTTATTTATTTAAGGTTTTAATTTTTTAATATAAATAATTAAGATTTATTATAATTTTTTAACTAAAAACATAATTATTCTTTAAAAAAATAAAATAAATCATGATTTTATAAAAGTAACAGACTACTGGCAATTTTAGAGACACGGTTATCCCATTCCTACCCCAGCGCGGGTTAGGAAACCTGGTGGAAATCAAGTTCTTTCCCTTTTTAAGTCCAAGTCTAGGTCCTGTACTCCGCGAGTCCATAAAAATAAAAAAAAAAAAAAAGTTGCGTTCTACGCGGTTTTGGGAAAGATGTTCCGATTCGTCGAACAGGGTTCCAATGCCCTGCCAAGTCTCCATTCTTCTCCAGGGCGCCAGGGACGGAAGAGGGTCCATCGCGAGACCCAAACTGAAATGGAGCCGCAATCACACAAGAGTGCTCGGTCTCTCCCAACGCCGCCACCTATTCCCGACGATGTTGCCGAAGATGTCCTGGTGAGACTGCCAGTAGAGTGTTTGATTCGATTCAGGTGCGTTTGCAAATCGTGGAATGCCCTAACAAGGGATTCCTCTTTTGTCGACAAACACTTGGCAGAATCAGTTAGAAACCCCGAACTAACTGGACAAAGGGTCTTGTTGAGCTGTCGTAGTTGATTGAATGAATACACATTCAAAACCTGTTCCCTTTACTCCTTGTTGAATCAACCCTTTACTGATCCTGATGCTTTTGATTTCATTTACCCGTTTTGGTATTTTTGGAGTCGTAACAGGATTGTGGGTTGTTGCAATGGATTGATTTGCATGACCACTGACTACGAAAAAGTGATTGTAGTTAACCTAGGTTTAAGAGAAATTAATAAGTTGCCAAATTATTTTCCCGGTGTATTTGGGTTTGGGTATGATTCTTCTAACAATGATTATAAAGTGGTATGTAAAGACACTTATACAAGTCTAAGGGTGTATTCGTTGAGGACTAGTTCTTGGAGGACTCTCGATTATGCATTTGATCTTCCAGATGGTGGTAGTAATAGTGAATATGTTGGTGGTACTTTGAATTGGCTAGTGAGTTGTAGAGAGCAGATTGTTTCAATTGATTTAGCAACTGAGACTATTATGGAGGTATTGCAACCTGATTATGGAGATGGTGTGAAACAAGGAAAGTTGGGGTTGGGGGTTTTGGAAGGCTGCCTATGTGTGGTTTGTGATAATTCCAATCAGTATGCTGATGTTTGGATTATGAGACAACATGGAGTCACAGATTCTTGGACTAAGATGGTCAGCATTCCATACCCGCTTAACCTTAAGAATTCATTTCCTCTGTACCCATTATTCATTTCAGAGAATGGCAAAATCCTATTCCAGTGGCACTTCACGATGACCATATACAATACAAGAGAGAATTCATTTAGGGCTCCATTGCTTCCTGATTTTTCACCACCTGCTTGTTCTGTAGCAGCTAGAATCTACTCTGAAACCCTGGTTTCGCCTACTGCTGCCGATTGGAACTGAACAACACACCACTAGCATAACACAAGGCAAATAGCTGAGCAAGACTGCAAGAGTAGCCTATAGCATGGAGGCCTGGTGGTTGTGACTGCTCCTATTCATTTATATTTCCAGTCAAAAGGAAACTTTCTTCTAGTTCTAGGAATTGTATTGAACTTCATTTATACATTTCACCATCCTTTTATTTTATTGATGATACTGCTTTTGCTTCGGCTAATAGCTTTAGTCTATGTTGTTGCATTTCTCTTTGGTGGATACTGGATAGTATTTGTTCTAATGATCTTTGAAATTTAAGAATTCTGGTACAAATGTTCAAAGCTTAGTGATGTTCCAAAAATGGCAGACCCTTTATACGGCAAACTCTTTTCAATCTTGTTGATGGTCAGAATTAGAGGATCACACACAAAGCGAATCAAAAAGCTTGAAAAGAAAAAAAATACTTTGATGGCATGGCTATTACAAGTTTATGAAAAGCGTTACATACACCACAATAAGAGAAACTGCATAGATCTTACGAACTGTCATGAACTTAAACCCAAAATTCCAGCGTCTGTAAGAATGCACTCTACCTTCTATGTCTTCTACAGCTGCTCTCACTTTCTGTGTTAAGTCTACGAAAATGTATAAAACTGTCATCAAAAGCGTAAGTTGCATAACATCACTATATTCTTCTCCTCTTGTTATCTGAAGAAGTTCCTTCCACCTGCCTGTCAGCATACCTCTCAACATTATAGAACCTGTTACGAACTTCAGCTGCAAGGACTTGAACAGACTCGTCCCCAATGCAGTGTTTTCCTGCATTTTGCAGCGCTGGTATTATAACTGGAAGAGAAACATTCTTGTGCAGTTTGGCAAATTCAATAAATCTATCCCATGACAAAATGTCCAAAGCAATCTTCGCCACATCCACGTCTGAACCTGTCAAGCCCTTGGCAATCCGTTTAAACAGAAGCTGAGCATTAGATTTAGTGATTTTTTCAAGCCGAGCGCTATTCATCAGGGATTTTAGTTCATCCAAGAGACAGAGCTCAGAGGTAGGTGGTATCGGATCGCCACTCAAAATACCTTCAAACATCATATTAGCGAGCTCGCAGTCCTTGTTTAAAAAGTCTAGCATGCTCACGTTTAAGGTCAGACTGTAGTCAGGGTAAGCATGGGTCTTGTGCAGGGGAATCAGAATCTGCTGGATGAAGAGTTTGTGCCCATCTTTCAGTGGCAACGGAAGCTCGCGAATCCGCTCACTAGCGAACCGCAGCAGATCGGTCACCGCACTTGGGATGTGGCGATGCCTGGAGGAGACAAAACGAGACAGATTGCGTCGTACAGTTGTCCAAATCATGGGCCTTTTCTGCGGGAAATTTTCCCAGAAAGATGGCAACAGGTTTGCCACAAAACAAGCTTCTCTGGAGTCATCTGCATTCATTGTAATGTTGAACAGGTTTTCAACAAAAGACTCCTCAATATGGTCATCACGCAACAACCCAGCATCAACAATTCTTTGGAGGAATTCGTAAACGTATAGCAGATGGACCCAGGCCCCTTCAACCAGTGGCCTTTTGTCCCCCGGACCATAGAGTTTGTTGTCAGTTTCTTTCTCTTTCTCAGGAACATGTGCGGTAGGAGAAGGAAATGCCCTGAAAATGTTTGCACGGACCATGTTCTTGACTTCGCTGACTGCATCTTCAGGAAGAGATTCAAGAGTAGGAACATAATCCATCAGCTCTTCAAGCGTATCATTCTTGTCACCGGCTCTAACCATGGTCTTAGTTAACTCCTCGTAAGGACCTCCGCTCTGTTTGAACTCTGTAAGAGATTTATTGGACCTCCGGTACGCTACGAGGACGCTGAGATCGAAAACTACCGAGCAGAGCCTCAGCTTTCTCATCAAGAATTCATGCCTTTTTTTGCTGGGAACGTCTGTGATTCTTGGTAACATATCATCTTCCATGTTTTCCGATTGTGAAAGAAACAGAAAGAAATGCTGGAAGTTACTCTCTCTTCCTTTTGCACAATGGATTCTGCCTCTGCCAAGATTAAACCCCAACAGAAACTGAGTCTTAATTTGCAGGCATTTCGACCAAATACAATCCTTCTTCAACCGCAAAATCAAGAAACAAACGCAGAATCACGACAATCTTTTCTTGTCTTTATTAAATTGGACACAACCCCGTTTTTCCCTACGAAACACAGAGTCAAGGAAGGGAATTTTCATCAAACTGCAATACATTTATCAAATTGAACACAAACCCACTTTTTCTTTTCTTTATCTCTACGCAGTTTTCTCGGAAAACAAACACAAATCCAAGAAGAAGGATGCAGAAGGGTACGTACTTACATTAAGCAATCTTTCATGAAACATCAAAACATCCCTCATATAAGAACATACAGAGGAGAATCAGAGTAGAGAATTGGCGGGAAGCGTTGTCGTTTGTTACGGGGAGCCACCAATCGCGGAGGAGAAGTGAAATGCGAGAAATCCTACGTCGTTTTGTGGTCTTGACTCGAAATAAATAAAATAAATAAAAAGACAATTAAATTATTCATCCTCTAGTGTAAGATTTCAATTTATTGATGGGCTTATATATAATAAAAACTGCAAATTAAAATTTACTAGGGACTAAATCATCAAATCAAAGAAAGAAAGAAATCTAAAAGGGATCCCATGGTACATTAAAAACAAGCGGGCCCCACACCGAGCGTCCTAAACAATGTGAGAAATCCTACGTCGTTTTGTAGTCTTAATTAGAAATAAATAAAATAAATAGAAAGACAATTAATAAGATTTCAATTTATTGATGGGCTTATGTATACTAACAGCTGCAAATTAAAATTTGCTAGGGACTAAATCATCAAATCGAAGAAAGAAAGAAATCTAAAAGTGGATCCCACACCAAGAGTCCTAAACCTGGTCTAATTCCATCTCACTAACTCACTATATATAGTGAGTGCACTCCTGTTTATGACTTATAAAATCAAGTTATACCTTAGAGTTAACTTCGAAGAATTACACACATTCAACTTTCAAGGTATTGTATTCATCAATTCCTTTTCATCTTTTCATCAAACTTTAGTTTTTTGTCTAGTAATATATATTGCATTGGATTTTGGAGGCGTCCCCTTTATTTGCGAAGCTTAACAGCCTTCACTTTATCTTCTCACTGTTCTTTTCTTTCTTTCTTTGGGTGTGCATACATTCACCCACAAGAAAGTAAGAACATGCAAAGCATATGATCGGAAAAAAATCATAATGTTACTCTTGATTTGCTTTTGTTTGCAGCATGGATAAGTCCTCCAATTCTACAGAGAAGCGTGAGATCAATTTTTTGAGCGATGATCAAAGAGATTTTCGTAAGTCGAATAACAAGAATGAAACAAACAAAAAATATGACAGTTCGAAGGTTGAAGGAGGTTCTGGAGGTTCTGGAGGATCAACTTCAAACAAGCAGTCTTCCAAAAACAAGAACAAGGATATTCTTAACAAAATTGCTCATTCTTTCAATAAGAAATAAAATAATTGATAAATATATATTATAAAAAAATCCTATAGATGTCTTCTATGTTTTTATTTATTTTAAGTTTCAAGGCCCCCTAGTATTTTTTTTTTTTTAACAGTTTGCAATTTAGAAGAGAAGGGATTTCAAAATGTTGGTGAAACTTGAAATCTCAATTAATTAACTCAAGTGCCTTAAAATTTAAAAATGAATCACGTAGATTTAAAAATTCAGTTTGCTCTAGTATTATATTTCAAAGAAGAGTAAAAAAATCTAGTCATTCATGTATATTCTGTTTTTTTATTCTCTTTCTTCCATTAAAGACCAAGCAAATCATTAGAATCAAAAGAAAGGTATTTACAATAGTTGAATTAAAACTAAACCCTCTTCTCCTTTCCCCAAGGTTTTCTTTAGCAACAAGACTTGCCAAAAACCAATCTTTCATGAAACTCCAAAAACCTTGTAGAGGTTTACTAATCAAAAGAAAATAGTTATAATGTTGGAAGACTCTTCACAATCTCCATATGCTCCTAAGGCTAATATCTCTCTCATAATCTCATAAGATCCACTAAGTGAATAATTCTTACGTAATTGCAATGAATACAGGTCAAACTATTTCAAATTATACAATCGTTAGATGGAAGTTTAAGCTCCATAACCAACATGATTTCTAATTAGTCAAAAGTTAGTTAAAAAAAAGTTTTCTATAATGTCTCCTCTAAAGTACGAAGTCGACCAAATCCTCTTCCAAGGCACAGGTCCCCGAAGCGGTTCCATTCCGAGAGCGACACTGGAGCGGAGCAGAGCCTAATGAGAATAATGAAAATCATCAAGTCAACAGCTCAATCAAGGCCTTTAAATCAAGCAACGGCTCCCTATCAAGATTAAAATCAAGGTGGCAACGGTAATCAATTATTTCTTTATTTTCTATTGTTTCAATTATTACCAAGATTTATTTCATATACAAATATAAATAGAGAAATTCTCCCTTCTCTAAACTGTTTTAGAGCCGCTATCATACAACACAGCTCGGTCTCTGCTGACGATGTCATTGTAGATGTCCTCGCGAAATTGTCAGTAAAGTGTTTGATTCGATTTTGGTGCGTTTGCAAATCCTGAAAATACCGAACGGGCTATTCATCCTTCGTCGATAAGCACTTGGCAGAATCAGTAAGAAACCCCAAATTCAGGGTCTTGTTGGGTTGTCTTAATGGATTCCACCATTATAGACACAAAAGCTGCCCCCTTTACTTCTTGTTCAATGAACTCTTTATTGATACTGTAGATGTTGTTTACCCAAATTGGAATTTTTATGGTCCAACCAGGGTTGTGGGTTTTTGTTGTAATGGATTGATTTGCATGTCCACTCGTTGTTCAAAGGTCATGATCTTAAACCCTACTTTAAGAGAATTTAAAATGTTGCCGAATTGTTGCAGTGCTTCTGGGTTTGGTTGTGACTCTTGTAACAACGATTATAAAGTGGTAACTACATCCCTTTGCAGTTTTAGAAGAATGCTAAGGGTAAGGATGTATGGGTGTATTTGTTGAGAACCAATTCTTGGAGGACTCAGGTGTAAGGGGATCCTGTGCAAGTTTAGGAGTTTGAAAATTTTTAATATTTAAGAATCTTAGTCAGTAAGCCCATTAGACAAGTTTATTTAAATTAAAATATAAGCTGATGGCAAGCTTTTTTGTGAATGGCTCACAAGCTTTGATATTGAATATAAGATGAGCAAACAGTCCCTTAGCTGAACCTATGAGCCTATTTTTGGGTTCAATCTGTTTATTAAGCTTAATGAGTTAGTTAAGTCCAGCTTTGATCAAACTGTGCTTCAACTAGATTTCATGGAGCTGTGTGTGCCCTGTTTTTAATCTGGTATGTGCAAATTGATTTGGAGTTCAGAATTGAATTATCTTAATCCCCCATAAAAGAAAATATATTAGCTGCTATGCATTAAACTTTTTTGTCTGTTCCTGGCTTCTGAACCTGATTAAAGAGGAACTTTCTACCAAGACAGACAGACAGACGCCAAAACCCCACATTTATTTTTTCACCAGCCATGCCTAGTCTAGCTCTTAGAGCCCTTGAATTATTTCTTGTTTCTTTCCTCAAGCAAACATAAGTCAAACTAGTTCATGACCCATCTCATGCATAGCTGTAAGCTTAATTTGGACTGTCAAACAATGAATTAAATTATACAGGAAGACTCAATTTCCTTTTACCTTGTTTGTCTTCTTATAAAGAATCTTAATCTCCTTTGATCTCTCCCCTGCACTCATTTTTCTTCTCCCCATGAATATCATGCATGGTCATCATTTTTTCTTGATACTGATGTAGGTTTTTTTAACTAAAGGCAGGTTATCTTTCTATGTGGACCAAGATGCTTGTTTTGGTGCTATGGTTTAAGAATAAAAATGAGAAGACTTGAACAAACTAAAGAGCAAGAGCAACCATAGCTGCTCAGATGGAGGCCTAGCGGTTGTGACTGCTCCTATCCCATTTCTCTATTTCCTGTCTAAAGAAAACTTTCTTCTAAAATGCATTGAATTTCATTTGTACATTTTGCCATCCTTTCATTTTATTGATACCCATTTTTTGTTTCTGACTAATAACTATTTTAATCTTTTTAGTTGCATTTCTTTTTAACGGATAGCATTTGTTGCATTAACGGTTTCGGATTTAAGATTTCTGCAACAAACTTTTCCAGGCTAGTGATCTTCCTATGAGATTGACCAAGATATACTGATGAAACCTTAAGAGGAATAGTATTTGTAGCAGTTGACGCAGAAGAATGCGCAACTTTCCAGTCAGTTAAGAGGGCGAGGAAGGCTAAAAAATGAGAGATCATGAGGAGATTCAAGTGCTCAATCTAAAGCTGTCCATGAATATATACAAGCAGTAGTTTTATATGTTTCAAGTTTCTGAAAAAAATTACTACTGCTATAAGACAAACTGCATCCATCTTTACTGATATGAACATAAGAAAAGCCAAAATTTTCCACTTGTCTGTAAGCATGCATTCAATATTTTTATGCCTTCTGCTCTCACTTTCTATGCTTATCATCAGAGAAGTGATTTGTGTCTATGAAAAAGTTCAAACTGTCATCAAAAGCATAAGTTGCATAACATGACCATCGTTTTCTTCTCCTTGTTCTCCTTCCAAACTGCCAGTCAGCATCATTCTCGTTATAGGACTTCTCACGAACACGAGCTGCAAGTTCCCGAACGTTATTGTCCCACAAGAACTGGTTTCCTACATTTTCCAGCGCCGGCATTATAATTGGAACAGAAACCTGCTTGCGCTGTTTGGCAAATAAAATAAATCTAGGCCATTTCAAAATGTTCAAAGCTTTGGTCACCACCATTGCATGTAAACTTGTCAAGCACTTGCCAATCCGCCTAAACACAAGCTCAGCATTAGATGGAGTGATTCTTCCAAGCAGAGTGTGTGTCATCAGAGATTTCAGTTCATCCAATAGTTCGATCTCACAAGTACTCCTCAAGGATCTCTGCCCGCCGCTAAAAATACCCCGAATCATCAAGTTGTCGAGTTCACTGTCCATGGCTAAAAAAGCTAACATGCATTGGCTTAAGCACCGACTGTAAATGGAGTAAGAGCTGATCTTGTGCATGGGAATCAAAACCCGCTCCAGAAACATTCTGTTCTCTGCTAGTAGTGGTACCCGAGACTCACGAATCCGATCATTAGCGAACGACAACAGAGGGCACACTGCACTTTGTGATGTACAGATGGCTCTCAGAGACAAAACGAGACAGAATGTGTTGCACAGTTCTCCAAATTAGGCGCCTTTTCTGTGTGAATTTTTTCCAGAAAGATGTCAAAACGAATGTGACAGATATAGCTTCTCTTTGGTCATCTGCATCCAATGCAATGTTCAACAGGGTTTTAACAAAGGAATCCTCAGTATGATCATCTCGCAACAAGCCAGCATCGACAACATGTCTGAGGAATTGGTAAACGTGTCGCAGAAAGAACCAGGACTCTTCAACCAGTGGCCGTTTGACCTCCGGATCATAGAGTTCGTCAGTTTCATAGTTAATATCAGAAACATGAGCGGAGGGAGAAGGAAATGGCCTGAAAATGTTTGCCGCTACCATTTCCTTGATTTGCCGGACTGCATCATCTGGAAGAGAGTCAAGAGAAGGAACATAATCCAACAGCTCCTTAAGTATTTCAAGCTTGGTACCAATTGGAATGATTGTCTCAAGTGATCCCGAACAGAGTCTCAGCTTTTTCATGAAGAGTTCATGTCTCTTTTTCACGGGAACGTCTCTGATTCTTGGCAAGTTGTCTTCATCCATGTTTTCCGATTCTGGAAGATACAGAAAGAACTCTTTTTGCACAAGGGGTTCTATATCTGCCACCGCCAGATTAAACCCCAACAGAAACAGAGTCATAATTTACAGGCATTTCAACAAACACGAAATCTTCAAAGGCTTGATCAAGAAGAAGAACGCAGAATCAGTACAATCTTTTCTTATCTTTATCAAATTGAACGCGACCCTGTTTTTCATTTCCCTCGAAATACAGAGCCAAGAAGAAGAATTTTCATCAAACTGAAATATAGTTATGAAAATGAACAAACCCCCCCCGCCCCCTCCTTTCTTCTCATATATCTTCGTAATTTTCTCAGGAAACAAACACAAAATATCAAAGAAACAGGATGCAGAATCGTTAGAATCAAGAGAACGGTACTTACATTAGTCGAATTGAAACAAAACCCACTTCTCCTTTTCCCAAATTTTTCTTTGGCAACAAGACTCAGCCAAGAATCAATCTTTCATGAAACTTCAAAACGTTACATTCATATAATTAAGAATATACAGAGGAAAAGCAGAGTAGAAATCAAGGGGAAGAGCTGATCGATGAAGCTTTCACCTGAAACAGAATCTCTGAATTCGGAGCAATCAATCGGACAAAAGAAATCATTTTTTTAGAATTTATTATATGGTCATTGAAGAGTACTGCCTCCAGGAGAAAATTGGCGGGAGCCATCCTGTGAGTGAGGCCACCGTCATAGTCTGTTACAAGGGGACCCACCCTTCATTCTTGATTCCCTGAGATGGGTGCAAATTAAAATGGTTAAAATGCCATTTTGGTCCCTGAACTTTCTGTTTTGGTATCAAAATTGTCCCTGAACTTCAAAAAGTACCAAAATTATCCCTAAACTTCACTTTTTGGTATCAATTTTGTCCTTCCATAAGTTAAATGCTGATGCGGTACATTTTCCAACAAAAAAAATCAAATCCTTTAACTTTTTAAATATTAGGTGGAATTTCTTTAGAGTGACGTGCTAATTTTTATTTTAAAAAATATATAAATTCCTTCTCCCTCCTCCTTCCCTTAAACTAGCAAAAATGTTTTTCTTAGACAAAGATTTCTCCACTATTGAAGCAAAAAATAATGTTTGAAATCCATATTTGAAATCTTCTTGACAAATGCTACTAAAAGATTTTTTGAGATATTCAAGCAACACCTAGTTTGACATGAAACATAACAAGGAATTATGATAAATTCTTGTGGCACCAAAACAAATTCAAAGAAACAAATGATTTCAACAAGAAAACAAGGATAACGAGAGAACAAAGGCAGAGTGGAAGAAATAACTCTCCTTTTCGATTAGTAAACCAAAGAGAAACAAAACCCTAACTCAAACAGTCGAAATTGAGGGAACATCGAGCCAAAACTCATTCACTCTCTCCCAAATCATATGAATTGAAGCAAAATCACGACTATCTTCATCGATCTTCGTCCTCTTTTCCTTCAGTCAATACCCTATTAATCTTTCGACCCTGCAAACAAAACCCACCAAGGAAATTCCAAGAAAAGCAAGACTAGCCAAGAAATTTTGTTGATCATTTTTTTCCCCAAGAACATATCAAGTAGGAAAGGAACAATCCTTTTATGGGTCTAATAAAAAGGGGTACCCTTTCTCTCCTATTTTTGAAGAATTGAATCGACATGTGTAACCTTAAGAAAGAACCCACATAGATCTGGAAGGGGAAAGAGTAGGAAGAAGAATGGAGAGAGAAAGAAGAAGAAAAAGGTAGAGGGAAGAGGGAAGAAAAGGAAGAAGGATGGGGAAGAAGAAGAGGCAAAGGGATGAGACAGAAGAAAGGAGGAAGAAGATGAATAATAATTTATAAATTTTGTGGGTCTTTTATTTATCTATTTAATAGTAAAAAATGTCACGTAGAAAAGAAAAAATGCCATCTCATCACTTTTTGCATGTTTTGTTTTCCACATCATTATTTTTTTTCGAAAAAAATGTGATTTTCTAGCCTTTTAACGTGCCACCTATCCTTTCCATTGACAGAAGGACAAAATTGGTACCCAAAAGTGAAGTTTAGGGACAATTTTGGTGCCTTTTGAAGTTTAGGGACAATTTTGGTACTAAAATGGAAAGTTAAGAGACTAAAATGGTATTTTAACTATTTTTACTAGGGACTAAATCATCAAATCAAAGAAAGAAAGAGCACCTACAACTCGCTACTTGGTTAAAGTGCATTAAACTCTTGGTAAATACAAAGTTCTATCCGCCACAATAGTAGCCATGTTATTCCGTCCCCTTCAAATGCCCCCATGTTAAATAAAAAAAAAAATCCAAGAAAGAGAGAAAGAAATCTAAAAGGGGGTCCCACAGTACATTAAAAACAAGCAGGTCCCACACCAAGAGCCCTAAACCTGACTCATATAATGCATGCACTACTGTTTATGACTTGTAATATCAAGTTAGACCTTAGAGATAATTTTGAAATATTACACCCATTCAAGGTATAGTATACCCATCAACATTAGTTTTTTGCATCTTTCAACTTTTCGTTTTCGTCTAGTAATATATATATATTTTTTATTATTATTATTATTTTTTATGTTCAATCCACTATTCTCCCTTTTTTTGTCGAAAACACAAGGTATAATTTGTTAATCTTGAAAAGAATTTGTTTTTGATATGTGCCTTAAACTCTAAATTTGGGTTTTGGAGGCGTCCACTTACTCTGAAAAATAAAAAAACCGCGCGATAGCAGCCTGCCACTTTCGCTTTGTCTTCTAACTGTTCTTTTTTGCCCTTTTTGGGTGCATATATCCATCTACAAAAAAGTAAGAACATGCAAGTAATTATTAAGCTTATGATGAAAAGAATTATAATTTTTCTCTTTATTTGTTTTTGTTTGCAGCATGGATAAGTCTTCCAAATACACAGAAATACGTGAGATCAATTTTTTAAGTAAAGATTAAAGAGATTTTCGTAAATTGAATAACAATGAAAATTTTTTTTTTTTTTAAAAGGGTTTACATTTAGGTGAGGAATTCAGGATTCGAACCTCAATTTTTAGGTTAAGGAGGTGCACCTTATAATATAATTTATTACAGTTGGACCATAATTCTTAGGTTGGAGAGGTGCACCATACAATCTAATTTATTACTATTGGAGCGTGAGGTCCAAATGAGAATAACAATGAAATTAAGAAAGAATTTAAGAGAATTTTTAATTATTTGACTTCAAACAAGTAATTTTTTTAAAACAAAAACAAAAATATTTTTAACAAAATTGTTCACAATATCAATGGGAGACAAAATAATTAGTAGCACATTAATATATATACATTAAGAAAAAGCTATATATTTGTCTTTTATGTTCTGATTGTAAGTTTTAATCTCATTATTTTATTCTAATTTGTATCAAGTAATAAATTGCTCTAGTATTATTATATATCATAAATTCAACAAAAAAAAATCTAGCCATGTATATACATTCTATTTTTTTACGAGAAAAGATAAAGATGCTAATTTTATATTTTTACTTAAAAATATTAAATTTGTTAACTTTTAAATAAAGATTTCAACTTTTAATTTTTTATTTAATGTTATTAATTTTTAATTTTTTCTATTTAAAAATAATAACTTGTTTTAAAAAGCACGTTTGTCATATTAATATTATTACCTAATTAATTCTTAAATAAAAAAAATTAAAAATTAAAATTATTAAATGAAAAAAGATTAAAAATTAATATTTTTAAATAAAAAATATAAAATTAATATCCTTGTTTACATTTTTGTTACCAAGCAATTAAATGCCTTTCAGTTATTTATATGCATACGGTGGATGTCTATCAGTACGTAAATTAAATTGATGACTGTAAACATACATATAAAAGAAAGTGAAAAGGGAAAGCCTTGCTTTTTTTGCTTTTTTTGTTTTTTCTTTTTAACTCACGCGGCCAGAGCATTACATATATATGTTATTGTCCCAAGATAATAAACGTGAGACGACGTAACACCTAAAAAGTGAGAGAGTGTGTAACAAACGACTTAACCCCCTTCACGGGACTACAACATGCAGCATTCAATGACCAACCAAGTCAGCTTCTACTCTCCTTCCTTCCCCTTATAAATACTTAATCCTCAAAGTACTTCGCCTCAAAGAAAGAAGCAAAAACAAAAACCATGTCTCACATAGCTGTGGAGAGAAACAGGAGAAGGCAAATGAATGAGCATCTCAAGGTCTTGCGTTCTTTAACCCCATGTTTCTATATCAAAAGGGTATAATTAATCTCTTAAACCTCTTGTATTATATATATATCTTTCTCTATTTTGATACATGAGAAAGTCTTCTTCACATAAGTTTGGACTACTTAATTTGATTGATTCCAAATCAATGTTTTAGTTTGTTGGTAACAATTCGATTAAGTTTAGGCCTATATGGAAGTAAGTAAACCCTAGATTCTAATTTTCATTATTTTGATGGTTGATTAGGGGGACCAGGCATCTATTATTGGTGGGGTGATAGAGTTTATCAAGGAGTTGCACCAGGTGTTGCAAGCGTTGGAGTCAAAGAAGCAGAGGAAGAGTTTGAGCCCTAGTCCGGGTCCAAGCCCTAGGGCGGTGCAGGTGCAGCTTCCTCCTATTCAGGCTGATATTCCCTTTGGATTTGAAGCTGGAGGAGAGCTAGGAGCGTGCTGCAATTCTTCGATGGCAGATGTGGAGGCGAAGCTGTCGGGGTCCAACGTGATCTTGAAAATAGTATCACGGCGGATTCCAGGTCAGGTGCTGAAGATCATCAGTGTGCTGGAGGGACTTTGTTTTGAGGTTCTACACCTTAACATCAGCAGCATGGAGGACACTGTTCTATACTCCTTCGTTGTTAAGGTATATATACCAATATAATTCAAAGCTTAAAAAAGAAAAAAAAAAAGCCATATATCTATCATTTTCATCTCATGCCGAAGCTATGCTAGCTGTTTAATGTACCAAATGGTGTATTTTTCCATATTCAATACAAACATATAATTACGTACGGTACTCACCCATATATATATTTTCATCATCTACATACGACTATTACCTACATTTAATATACTAATTTCTAAGACTTAATAGAAACTGAAACTCGATCAATTTCAGACCTTTCCTAAACAGATCTTCCAACTTTATGCAAAGAACCCACATAAGGATTTTGACTACTAAAAAGAAAAGCTAAGTAATAATAATACTAAACGGAGCTTTATTATTTATGATCAATGTTTTTAATTATAAGTTTTATATATATGATTCATGGTTGAACTAAACCAGGACTGGGGGTTTATAATTGTACTTACATCGGTTAATTTGATTTTATATTTCTTGAAGTGTTGAGTTGGATCTTATAAATTTATTTTGTTTTTATAGAATTAAGCATGATAATCTTATATATGATTAATGGGAAATGTTCAAGAAAAATTAATCGCTTTTATTTTGCCATAGCTATGTGAGCATATTGAAGAACATGTTCTTATTGATTAACATGATTATTAATTGACTCCTTATTTGCAGATAGGGCTAGAGTGTAAGCTGAGTTTGGAGGAATTAGCTGTTGAAGTTCAACAAAGCTTCTTCTCGGACCCCGTTTATGTCAATGACATTAACTAACAACCTATATAGCATATGCTTTGTAATATATATCATGAAAAAGTATATATCAATCAAGACTAATATAAATTAAGAGTCTTATAAACTCAAAACAATATCATCATTTTATGCGTTTAGATGCCTGATGTGTGTTTGGGTTTATAGGACTTGTTAATTTTAAAAACATGTTGTCTATGATAGACTTCCTCTATGTGTGGATTTCAAAACGACACTATTTTATGTTTTTAAAAGTATTTTACTTTTAAAAGTCTTAATTGATATACAATATGTAGTATTGTCCTTGAAAAAAAAGAAACATGAGTAGTTGTTAACAATATGATTGTCAAACACTATCTCTATGATTAGGTCATGTGTCAAGTAGTGTTTATATGATTGGTAATAGGAGTTAATTACTTTAGTATATTTGATTTAAGACAAAGAATTTTTTAATTACTCAAATTATAATATTTTTAAATATTATAATATGATTAATTAAAAAATACTCCAATCCTCTCTCACCCCTTCCATTTTTCTCAAATTAAACATACTGTTAACATTTATTTATATTTTATTATAGTCTACAAGAGTACCACCATTAACTAATTAGATGGACTGACAATCGGGCCACATTGAAATATTTGGAACCATTAGTTTTAAAAAAATGGGCCTGGTTTGGGCTTTTCTTCAATTCCCATTCTTCCAATCTTTACGACATCTTTCTCCCAGGCCCATTTTAATTTGCAAGTAATTTGTTGATAAGAATCCGTGACCATGGCCGCATCAGATTTCATATAAATAAGAAACACAATTTTTAAAAAAAATTTATTTAAGGATATAAGTTTATTTTTTATCAATTAAGATTATTTTAAAAAAAATTTTAAATAAGGATATAATATTTATAATTTTATTAAAGAAGGA